CCCCCCCGCTCCTCACCAATGCATAGTAATCAACTGTATTATTTCTAAGTGTATATTAACACTATTACAGCAACTGCACGTCTTTCAATCCAAAACTTCTACGGATACATGAGTTACAATGTAAGGACAGATAAAGTTTGGTGATATTCATTCAGCAGTGACAGTGGATATGTCACAGATAACATGCACATTATTGAATATTGACAAAATGTTCAAATGCACTGCAGATAACCCATCTAGAGTACAATATTATACGATTAATACACAAAAGATTATTACATGACAGAACATTGCTATTCAGATTTATAATTATATAGTTTTACCTGTGTATTAGATTGGTCAGTGGTTCTATCAGTTTCTTGCCCAATCTGGGTTCGAGTGGTGTCAGGGCTCCAAACTTAAAAATAGAAAATAATCGTGTCATGATCACTGAAAACATGCAACAAAAAGTGATAATCAAAACTCTACGCTTCAAAATAAGTTCGTTTACACAATCGTAAAACTAATGATGATTTTCCAATCACATTTTCACTCATATTCTGGAAAACACATACATCAAACATGGCCAAGATTTGTTAGTGATATGGAATAACAATTTATCGTAACCACAAGAAACAGTTTTGACAGAGACAACAATACCAGCAGCTACTTTTGCCATGTCCACATTTCAGTTAACAAGAACTTACTGTTTTCGTTAACCTGAAAAATGGATCCAATAAATTACACAATATTTTTGACAGGAAAACCAGGTTTTGTTCTTGAAATTTCTCAAATCAGACATTTTGTACTCTTTATAGTCAAGAATCATAACACCATGCTATACTATAAGACACAAGAGAGATACTTACTAGTTTGATTATCTTGATTAGCACCCAATTATTGGTAGAACTGGTCATTAATTTGAAAAACAATGGTGCTAATGAGAGATAGTTCTTGGGATTTTTTCTTGCTAGCTCACATATGACATTGACGGCAGCTGACTGCACACCTGTATCCAATGATACATATAATAGATCAGTTCCGTACATCACTGCTTGAGTTGGTAATTTAAATGTTATTAAAAAAGTTTTCTGGCAATATTACACCCACAATGTAGGTAACAATGTGATATTGGTGCCATATTTTTTCTGCATATGAAAATATCAGCTTACAACTTTTTTTTTTTTAAATCAATACAAAGCGTGTTTTCACCATTAGTTAGCTCAAGAGCTAAATCAATAGATTAAACAGTCAAATAGATTAAGTAATGGCAAATCAAATTCAAGGTATACCTTGCTTTTTTTGTGCATGCCTTTTGGTTCATTTAGCGCACTTTTTTGGACTCAGTCGCCCTCATCAGATTTATTCTGCCAATAAATTGGCATAACAAGGTGAGTTTCTAAATTCCCACCATAAGGATAAATTGTGGCATGCATGTAACTTTGCATCACTAACATAGATGTGTTTCTAAACACACAATTTCTGGCATTATAAAAACACGTTTTCATCAGATGTTTAAACAGACATATCATGGTACTGACCATCATAGTAAATATTGCACCACTTTACTAACCATTATACAAAATGTACCATGGTCCTGAATATGATCAATGCACCGCTGAACTGACCACAATTAATTAAGGGACAGCTTTATTTTACAAACCTGGATCGGGATCTTCAAGTTTATCTTTAAGTCGTGGAAAAGCTGGCCTCAATGCTTCTGGAAACTGGAATAATGAGGCACAGCAACATTAGGGGCAACATACAACAGGTTTCAGTGAAGACAAAATAAAAATGTTATATGCATTAGATAGAATAAAAGAATCCCTAGTCCACTCATCCAAAAACTGAGCGTATGGATAGTTTCAGATAATCTCTTACAAAGCGTTTACAACAACAAAAACCAGAATCACAGAAGAGATGCCACATACCTTGA